CGTGAATCCACCTCCATCACCAGTTTCTCCACCACCACAAGGTTCACCTCCTGCCCCAGCCTCCGACCCTCCTAAAAATTCACCCCCTTCACCACCTCCACCTGCGAATTCACCTCCATCGCCAGCATTTACGCCACCACGAAGTTCACCTCCTACACCGTCCTTGGAACCTCCTAAAAATCCACCTCCTTCACCACCAGTTCCTTCAGATGGCTCCACTACCAATAGGTCAAGTAATAATGCAGCGGATAGCTCAAACAGTCCGAGTAGTAGCGGCCTAGGGACTGGAGGTACAGTTGCCATTGGCATCGTTCTTGCTGTTTTATTGCTTAGTATTATTGGAGCAGTGGGTTGGTGCATGTGGAAGCGAAAGAAAAAGGCTTTTCGCCTCAATGGCGGGAATGTCATGCCAACCTCTGTGGGTTTCACCCCACAATCTGGTAATTTTTCACTAGCTAGTATATCATTCATTAGCACGTCAATAAATGTTTCAGATGCTTTCAAGCAACATCAATGTAATATTTGTGGTTCAAAAATATAAATTGCAATCTGAGAAGAGTGCAAATTATGTACAGAGTCTGTCTTATTGAAGATACAAGAATCAACACCTGGGACTGGAAACGGAACTGGCTCCAATTTCCTAATTTCTCCTGCAGGATCTGGTGGATTGGGAAGTTCAAAGATATGGTTTACCTATGAAGAACTAGTTAAGGCTACTAATGACTTCTCGGCTGAGAATTTGTTGGGGGCAGGTGGATTTGGTTCTGTATACAAAGGATATCTAGAAGATGGGAGGGACGTCGCAGTAAAGCAACTAGATATTGGTGGGCGCCAGGGAGACCGGGAGTTCAGAGCTGAAGTTGAAATCATCAGTAGAGTACACCATCGCCATTTGGTTTCCCTTGTAGGTTATTGCATTTCTGAGAGTAGAAGGCTCCTTGTTTATGACTATGTCCCAAATAACACCCTTTACTTTCATCTTCATGGTAAATACAAATCTTTTATTTTTCTTTCAAACTCACTTTTGACATTTGGTCACTAAAACTAGATGTGGATACATGAAATTTACAGCGGCTGGAAGGCCTGTTATGGATTGGACAACACGTGTTAAGATTGCTGTTGGTGCAGCTCGTGGAATAGCTTATCTGCATGAAGATTGTAACTTTCTTTCTCTTCCTTTAGTCTTATAGTTATGGTTGATTATATTCTCTTTGTTTATTCCATTGGTCTGATTTGTAATACACAACCCCTTTGTTCTTGTTGCCTGTAATATTTACGCGATGCACTTATTCTATTTATCATTCTTTAACCTTTTTTTTTTGCATTCTTTAACTATGGATTTCATTATTATCACTCTTCTTTTGTGTTGTTCATTCTCTTGGTGATGACAGGCAATCCTCGAATTATCCACAGAGACATTAAATCATCAAACATTCTTTTGGATAGTAATTTCGAGGCTCGGGTATGTCAACATCCTCAAACTCCATTATTCACATTCTTTGACTCGCAAACTGCCTTACAATTCTTTTTTTTCCACAGGTTTCTGATTTTGGTTTAGCTAAATTAGCTCAGGATGCAAAAACTCATGTTACAACACGTGTTGTTGGAACATTTGGGTATGTTCCTGCACCAAAATTAACACTAATTGGATAATAGGAAATAATGCACTACATTCCTTCTTTCTATGTGTCTATTCTAATTCCTTGGATCCTTTCAGCTACATGGCTCCTGAATATGCATCAAGCGGCAAGCTGACTGAAAAATCTGACATATATTCTTTTGGGGTTGTGCTTCTGGAGCTAATTACTGGACGGAAGCCTGTTGATACATCTCAGCCTTTAGGGGAGGAGAGTCTAGTTGAGTGGGTATGTTTGTAGCCAAACCAATCTCTTCTTTCTCTCTCTCTTTCATCACCTTCTCTCCATATTATGTGAGAATTATGTTCTGGTTATTTATTGTAGTTACAAGTTAACGTATCTGCATCTGCAGTATAAGTACTGTTTGTGTCCATTTCGCTAGGACAACCTTTGCATCTCATGTTAAATAAGATTTGGTGATTCATCCTGTCATTTTCCCCGCACAAGAACTTAGTGCGACACTGCTACTATGCAGCAAGCGTCTAGTCGCACCTCTTCAAAAAAAAATCTTTTAGGTTTCTTTGTTCTATCACACCAGCCAGCCAATGTTCTGAGTAGCACGAGGTTTCTCTGCTATAAGTTCTTTTAAAAGAAATTCAGACCTCTATCCTGGAAAACTTTGGGTGGAAATACTATCAAATATTTGCCTATGGAAAGTGTGTGTGCATATAATTTTCAACTTTAGGGAATAGACTGTTGCAACAGAACTTGTTTATCGTTAGACCTACCATATAGTTGCCTACTCACTGCCATTTCAATGGATAAGAGCTGCTCTTTTCTATAAATGGCAGTGAGGTTGTCCTTGTTTTTGCTTGTAAGATTGAGAAAGTTCAGAGGACAGTTTGGAAGTGGATGCACCTTAAAGAATCCTGATGATTCCCCTACGATCATGCATTGTATCCTGTAATAGCTGGCATCTGTGTTCATGAAATCTCTGGGATTTGTTAAAATCACCTTGTAGCCCCTCTACATGTTCTAGGAAAGATGTCGTTTCCAATTTAATCCTTAATTTTAGGCTTATCAGGGGGGGATTTGATGGTGTAGGGCACAAATAAGATATCTTGGAGCAAAACAAATCCAGGGAATTTTGGTGTCCAAAAGCTACAGTTAAAGCAATGACCAAGTAGAAATTGCTGAAAATGCTGCTCTTCATGTTCATGAAGAGTGGTACTTTTTAATATCCTTTAGTGATATTGAGAAAGCAAGAAAAGGATGGAGACAGATTTGATGTTTACTTATTTGCAGCTTACTTGACTGAGTGGGTGAGAGAAAATCTTAGGTCAGTTTGGTTGTGTACTAATTACACAGATGGTGCTTCATTGTTGGAGTGTTTCCATATTGTAAGGATCCATTTGAGTCCATATATTTGATAAGCATGTTCTGCCCGTTGTGATTAACAGCTGTTTTTCGCTGTTTTTCGTACTGGAACAGGATTGTAGTTTATAGTTGACACTTGACATGCCTTGAAGGAGAATCTCTTGTTTTATAAATAAGAGTCTCAAGATTTTACCATCTTGATTGAGCATAGCCGAATGTGTTGGAGATACTGTATTTCCTAGGCACTCTTAAATTTCGTTCACCTAGATCTGAGAAGGCCAGCTTTTTGCAATTATTCTGCAATCATTTCTTATACTTCTGTTTTATGATACAACTGTCTCAATTTCCGTCATTAGTTTTTCTTCACCTGAAATTTTGAGGTTTTTAGTTGCTTTGCAACAACCAAAAATCCCAAGAAGTTGTCTACTTAAATTTCATTTCATGGATATTACTCCGAGCAGAAGGCTTCCGCTAAAAATAATTTTCATTTCATTTGGTTCCTTTTGTAGTCAGTAGCCTAATTTACAGCTGTATTTCCTAACAAAGTATGGCAGTCATTCTTCTCTTTAGGAAGTTTCTGAAAATAATAACTCTTTCGGTTAGAACTGAATTCTGGTACTAATCACCAGACCTAACTTCGAATCAGCCTAACACTGTTTTGCAGTCGTGTCAATGTAAAACTTTTTGAGTCATGCTGCAATTTGATCTTTTTTTCTTTTCCAGGCTCGGCCTTTGTTTATTCATGCACTCGAGAAAGGGGAATTTGATCAGTTGGCAGATCCACGCCTCGAGAGGAATTATGTTGCCACCGAGATGTTTCAACTGATTGAAGCAGCTGCAGCTTGTGTGCGCCACTCGGCTGCAAAGAGACCAGGAATGGGACAGGTAACCGATTCTTTATTTCACTAAAAATCTTATCACCTGAAACACCGTTAAGACTTGTCATGAAGAGGAATTTACGTTCCAATCGTTCTTATTCTTTGCAGATCGTGAGAGCTTTTGATAGTTTGTCTATTTCTGATCTGTCAAATGGAATGAAAGTCGGGGAAAGTACAATATATAACACTGCAGAACAATCTGCAGAAATAAGATTGTTTCGAAGGATGGCATTTGGTAGTCCAGATTTTAGTTCCGATTTTTTTAGTCAAGGTACACACCATAGTGGAGAGTCGGCTGAAGATAGGGTATAGTTACTATTTTACACAACTAAAAGGCCTTGCTAAAGCAAGTGTATGTATCTGTTTATAGATCAAAGGCGCCTACGTTGAGAGGTATACGATTGCCCCTTCGAGGTTATTTAGTTGTTGGTTAGGTTTTGTAAGTAGATTCCTTTGTTTTGCTGGCTTACATTTAAGCCCTGCTATTTTGGGAGCAATTTTTCCTGCAAGTAACTGGAAATTTTTTGTCTTCTCCAATATTTGTTCGTTCAAAAGGTTTATTCAATTTGTTTGTTCTTCTCAAAATGGTGGAAATGTGTACTTTGATGGAACATACAGGTCTTGAGATCAACAGCTTTACCACCCCCTTCCTCCCCCGGTTTTCGCGGAAAAAAAAAAAGGAAAATAGAAAAGCAGGGAAAAAACAGAAAAGAGAGATATAAGAAAATAAGTGTAAAAAAAAAAAAAGCAGTCGGTACACTAAGGTTCCGCTATGCGTGGGGTCCAGGGAGGGGCAAGTGCACAAATAGTCATTCTCAGGATGCTATTTAGAGATTAGCAAGTACTTATTTTGTCCTGAAATTTTAAACTAAAAACCTCAACTTAAGGATAATTCAAAACATTTTTGTCCTAAAAAGTTGAACTGAAAAATTGAAATTCAGGACGCGCTGACTAATTTTTAAATAGTAGCCCTTTAGAGTGATTACCTGGTGTCATTTTTACGTTCGGGGAAGGGCGGGACCACGAGATTAAAAAGAAAGAGAAAAGGCCCTTTAAAGTTTGCTAGTATTTCTTAGTTTTCATCAGAAGATTTCCACTCCAATGATTAACATTCACGTAAAGAAAATTGTAAATATAAAGGCTAATGTTTTACTTTGCTTAGTTTTACATCCATAGACACAAGGAAAAGAACAAGAAGCAAGATTCAGAAGAGTTTATGTCTTTCTTTGGAAGGCAAGTGCAAAAAGTCAGACAAAGACCTCAAAAAGTCAAGTCTATTGAGTGAACACTTCTGCTAGCTATACATAAACAAACAAATAACTACGCTTCAATCCCAAGTAAGTTATGGTCGTCTATATAAATCCTCACTGTCCATATTGCTCTATTTAAACACATCTTAGTCCAATAGTGCCTAGGCGAGCATGTCTCAGTGTACTAGGATACATTGTAAATTGATTCTTTTTATGCTGACCGTCAACCTACTGCAACGCTTTTCCTTTATTCAGACTTGAGACCGGCAACATGAGCAAGATCACACAAGCGAAGTTATTCTGCTACTTAACCACGAACATATCAATTATAACAAGAACAAGAACAACAACAATAACAACAACAATAACAACTTAGTTTGATCCCATAAATGGGGTCTGGGAAGGGTAGTATGTACGCCGACCTTACCCCTACCTCATAGAGATAGAGAAGCAGTTTCCGGTACACCCTCGGCTCAAGGAACAATGAAGATAAAGCACCAAGTAGCAAAGAATGTTAGCAACATATGAATTATAAGTCAACTAGAATAGGACAGCTTATGCTTCCTTCCACATTTTGCTTTAAGCTATCAGTTCCATTTTTTAGCTTTGCAGACAATATCTTCTCATGCTTCAAACATCAATATACCCTTCTTAAAAGAGAAGCAACCTATTAATTCCTTGACAAGAAATGACTTCTATTCATAACCTTCTTCATTACCTTCACCCTTCTCTCCATTCTCTGCTTCAATCTTGCACAAAAAATGGTTGACAAAAACATTATCGCGGCCGATTGCATAGTCATATGTTGCTGCTGCCAATGCTTGATCCTGCAAATCATCATCTTATTCTTGCTTAACCTCCCATGCAAATTGTTAAAGAAAACAAAAGAATGTATAAAGAAAGTGAGAGATCGACGGCGGAACAAGAAAACTATGAAGATTGAGAATAGAAGATATGAAGATGAAATCTTGAAAGATTATGGAGGATCTTTGAGGGTTGAATTTGAAAGTTTATGTTGTATGGAAGAAGTTGAAAATGTTTTGGAAGAGTTTTCTCAAAAGGGTGAATTTGCTTTTGGAAGTTTTTGGGGTGGAAATGAAGAGGAGGTTTTAGAGACAAAGTGCATCTCAACATGTATAAGAAAACAAACAGTTGATTATGATGTTTTTCATACTCATTTGATACAAGTCTTTGGATCTTTCAACTTGCAATGACACTCTTACATGCTCTTTTACAATATTTCTATTGCCTTATTAACTAAAGTTTATGAAATAATTGAATCTCCTATATTTAGAGTCTGCCTTTGGGTGGAATTATTAAATAAAAATACATGTAATTATTTTTTAAAAGAGTAGTATAAATATAATAGACACAATAACTCCAAACTTACTACTCTAAATCCTGAATTCGCCTTGTATACTCTCTCAATATGTTTGGCGTGATTTTCGGGTATATATAAGATGTTTAGTCACGTCATTTTAGTCTAATATGGCTTCTTTTAACCNCACGGGTACCCATAGTCTCTCCTGTCAAACTAGGTATTTTATATATTTATTTTCTAGAATTAGTCTACTATTATCTATTGGCACCCATGCTTCAAAAAGGTTGAATGGTGCACTTGGTTGAATATAGAGTTATTTATCCCAAAAAATAGGGATCGATTGCCACTTTATACTTTTTTTCTCCTTTCTAAAGTGGTGCACCCATATTCTATAAATCCTATATCCGCCTCTGGTTAGTATGTATTGTTGCAGAAAGAAAAAATATGTGCACACACTTAGAGTTCAACTGAAATGCTCATTCTTTATTAATCAAAAAATGTACAGATGATAATAACTTGAAAGAGAATATGGGGTCTTAACACTTAAAACAAAACCAATCCTCCTCCTTATTAAAAGTTGCTTATCTGCTATGCTGCTTCTAGTACTCAACAACAATGTTACAAGGTATAGAATGAAAGAATTACATACTATATTACCAGTACAAAATTTACAAACTTGCGGGGCATCTTTGCCCATTTAAGACATGGTACAGTAGTACAGCGTGGCGTCAACTGGACCTCGACGACGTAGCCTCCATGTATGTAGTTGTGTACAGAACCAGCTCGGAAAACATGTACAATGAGCAAGTTCCAGCTTACAACAATAACATACCCAGTGAAATCCCACAAGTGGGGTCTGGGGAGTGTAGAGTGTACGCAGCTCAACAGAAACATGTATACTGCTCGTGAAAATCCAGCCTGGACAGTGGTTATCTGTGGCTACTGCTCCTCTCTTTCTTGTCTTCCAAAGGATTCGTTCTCGCCAATGAACGAGCAGTGAAACCTACGGTTGTGGGCCTTATCGATCTCTGTCTCACCACATGGCAGTACTCTGGGTCATCGGATTTCCCCTCGTATCTTATCCATTGAATCATCCCGTGGTACAATGGGAAGAACCGCGTCTGAATAGCATTGTATATAAAGTAGGGAAGTAGAGCTGAAACTGTCACCAATATTATGATGATCCAGTAGAATGGGGCCGGAGCTAACGCTTCCACGAAGATTTTGTACGCGGTTGTGGAAAAAGTTGTAGACATGGTTCCATAAATCAGAAGGAAAATGTACCAGAGAGCAATTCCACCCCAGATTACAATGTGCTGGATTAAGGTAAAATAACTGATAGCGAGCGCCATTTGGCAATTGACAACCCAAACAACACATGTGTACATGGTTGCTCCAACAACTGCATATCCAGCAACTTTACCATCTTTTTTATAAGCTTGAGGATCTAATGCTGTTATGCATAAGAAGAAGATTATCACCGCACTGCAAGCGCCATTGACCATCCAGCCTATTATACGACGCCATCTGAAGAGGAGATTCTGAACACCTTCTTGATACAGTAAAGGGAACTGCCACATAATACCAAAAGAATAATTAGAAACTAAGAAAAAAGTACTTAATTCCACCTCATGTCCAAGAAGCTATACAAATGCTAGGAATAAAGCCACACGCGTTAAGAAAATGTGAATACTGCATCAAGTGTAACATACCTTAAGACACAATCGGGCAGATACATCTTGATCGAAAACTCCCAAAGCAATCACTGGGAGTGATGTGAAAAAGACATTGTAAGTTGACAGAAACCAATCGTTATATGCTGGTTGTCCAGAGAATGATGTATATGCCTCGTATAAGAACACAGTGATACCAAATACGATGTTTTTGTAGAAGAAGTAGCATATCTGCAGGGAAACAAATATAAAAAGCCAGTTACCAAACTGCTCCACAAAATATTTGCAAATATTTTCTTTATGTTTTGAAACAGTTCATCGGAAGGCAATAGATTTATTCTTTAAACAAATTTTTATCTCATCTAAATTATGATGAGAGAACAAATTTTAAAGAGAAAATCAGAGGAATAATAGATTACCATCGAAGAGATCCTTCTATAACACCAATGTCCATGCACTAAAAGCAAGCGCTCCAAAAATCGGAACTGAGCAATAGCAACATCACTTGACATAACAGCCTAATGAGTAAAAGAAGAAAAAATTATGATAAGAACAATTAATTAGGGTAGGTAGAAGAAAAGAAGAAATTTGAAAATCATCAAAGTTGCTACAAAGAGGCAAGAGAAAGGTATAAGCTCTTGAACCTGCATTCCTTCAACGCCGCTGATTCCAATTCCAATATCAGCTTCTTGAAGCATTCCTACATCATTAGCTCCATCTCCAACTGCCAAAGTTATCTTTCCAGTCCCCAATTTGACTAGTCTTGTTACCTATATTTCCAAGGAATCGCCAAACTAAGCACTAGAGTAGACTAGAAACAGAACTACAGATAAAATACAAGAGAGGATTGAGAGAGCCAAAGGACAGAAATGCATAGAGTCTGGAGTGTGAAATTCAACTTACCAGTGCCTTCTGTTTTGGTGATGAACGGCAGCATATAACAGAGGCACATCTGATTGCAAGGTCCAAAAACATATTTTTTACGTCATCATCTAGGGCATATGTAAGAGATTTCCCATCAATGATCAAAGCAAATGCCTCCGTGCTAGAAGTAGTAAGTAGAGCCTTTCCTTCAGTAATTTGTCGTAAAACATTTTCCTTTGAAGCCTGTAATAAAAATATATATCACACAACATCATGAATATGAAAAACTAAAATCTAAAGAATCATTTCCACATATTTAGTCATGTTTCTATAGCTGTCACTTCAACAAGCAATGCAAAAAAAGTAGAGATGTATTTACCTTGGCAATTGCATTCTTTTCTCCAGCTTTCTCTATAGCTTTAATATCAGGGCTTTCCAGCGTTATGATAATTTGCTT